TTTTGTACTCTGTATCGGCAAGTACTCAGATCCAAGTATCGGTATCGTATCGGTTTGAAAAAATTGGTATCGTTGCATCCCTAATTGATTGTTTTCAAACAAAGTTATAACAGTGTAATTGTCACTTCAAATGTACAATGGAAAGCATTAGAAAGTGAGCAGAAGAAAGAGTTTTTACCCACAACTTACTGTTAACTTTAGCTTACAGGTGTTAGCTACAGCATTAAAAGCTTTAAGGAACAATTACATTTTTTTCTGAGATTTCTTATAGTTGTACACATGAACCATCCAGATTAAAGTCCCTACATTTACAGATTAAGGGTTCGCAGATATGAGTAGCATAGCGTGAAGAGACTGGCTAGGATTAAGAACCCTATTCTCATTTATTTGGCACTTCAGTAGCACACCTGTCATAATTGTAAACTGTATGTATTCTCAATAAAAAATGGAGGCAGTGTGTGTGAGTGTGTGCCTTTACACCCACTTGTCTCAGTGATGCATTTCTCTGCACTGAGGGGCTCCCTCAGTCCATCTCCCCCAAAAGGAGTGGGTGTGGTTTCCTTCATGCTGTTCTCCTTAGCAACACCTCCAGGTGCTGTTGTCTGAGTGCCACTTGGGGGTGATGATGTTTTCTGCTCAGTTTTCTCTTCCTGCAGCCAAAAATAAACACACAGTTCGTAGGGGTCAGACAGAAACATGGGCATACAAAGTATGAAAACTCATGGTGGCACATGGTGGCCAGTAGTGGCACAATGAATCAGCAGAACCACAAAAGCTAATTTTCTGTGAGCTGCTAACACATGTTTAACTGTGTTTAAGAGTGACCTTTTGTCCATTGGTCTGTCCATTTCCTGCCCCCACGTTGTCCATGGATCCAATCTTAGCCTTAGCCTTAATGTTTAGCTTATGGGACTCAATCTTCACATCACCACCACCTGGGATTAAAAAAATAAGGAAAAATTAATATGATGCCATTTGGGTTTAATGGCAAGAAAAAGCACAAATGTTTTGGGATGGACCTGGCTTGTGTTTGATGTTGTCCTTGGAGCCACATTTGGATGTTACCTTGCTCACATCAACCTTCTTATTCAGGATCTGCACCTGGGGTGGAGTACATAAAAATCTTGTCTTTTTAGATTCTAAGTCATTCAGTACAATGCAACTTTCACTTCAGCGTCCACTCAAAGCCACTTTAGAAAATCGCTATCATTCATTATACTGCACCTGCTGCATTCATATAGAGGCGTGACATTCCTGACAATGCAACAGAGTATGTGAAATTGATTCACAGCTTTTTTTACCAATCATGCTTGATTTCCTGTTATGACCTGTTTCATTAGTTTAGAAGGTGCCTTGTTGTTTTGTTCGGCAGCGCTCCGTTTGTGCAGATAAATCAGGACGAGCTGTAACTAGTCACACCATGACTGTAGAGTTGGCAGCTGGCACGATGACCTGCCTCACAACATGTGCTAAAATCAGTCAGATTCACATATAAGATGACAGACTGGAGAATGAGATGACCATAACTCTGCTGATAAAATTTTATTAGTAACACAAACTGTCAAAACCTTTTGTTGGACCTGTAGCTTACCCTAATGTGAACGGATATTATGGAATAGAAACAAATAGTTAAAATCCTTAAAAGCCAGTTTAAATATTCATAATGTCATCTTCCACTATAAAAACACATCAGTGATGTAAGTAAATACAGAAAATGTAAATGCTGATGTTTTTTTTCCTGGATTTTGCCTTGATATCCTGTCTCTTTCCATTAAAATGAAATAAAAATTAGACAGTGTTCATGTCTTTTTTAAGTGAGCAAGCTCAAATAATTATTTTATCCACTGTAACATTTCATCACCAAATGAATTCATGCACATCTCCAAGACAATGCGACACAGTTTGTGCTTCATTCAGTGGTTCTACTAAGGTGCAGCAGCTTGCAGATGTAAAATGTAACCCCCAGCATAGAAACTGTATCACATCATGTATAAAACGTGCTTTAACTAAAAGAAACAGTGAAAACATCCAAATGATTTTCAACCAACACTCTCAACATAACCTGCTCCCGACAGCTTTAGTTTTTAAATCTCTCACCTGGAGACTCGGTGCTGTTTAAAGGTTTGAGAGTAAAGACTAAAGATAAAAAAGGCTAGGCCTAGTCTATGTACAAACTTGATATGTCTGTGTATTGTGTTTTAGTAATGCTAAGTTATATCTAAGAACCTATGTTTAATATTGATGCTCATGAGGGAAATGCGAAGACTTTAGATGCAGCTGAAAAATGTTAAACCCTCAAACTCTCACGACAAAGGTCCAAAGAGCCTTCGGGGAATGCTGTTGGTCAGCAAGTGGTGATTTCATACCTGTTGATCTCTAATCTGAAAATAACCAGCTTCTTCGCAGTTCAAGTTCACAGCATAAGTTTCTATGGCAATATACTCCAGTAAGAAATGAATAATCTTCTTAGTATAGAAAACTCAGGATGAACGCTGAAGTTACCTTGATAAGATTAAATCCTGCTTCATAGTACAGGCCTCAGGGCACCATGTCGTCACCATGAGTCAACCACAAAGCTCTACATACCAAAGTATTCTAGAGTCAAACATGAGGCCTGCTACAGCTAATTCTTGGCCATAATTATTTAATGTAAAAGGACAATAATCCCAAGCAAACCAGCAAATCTATTACAGATCTTAAGAGAGCTGTGTATAGACAAATCCCAATAAACTTCCAAATGATTGTTTTAATTGGTAAGCACTAGTAAGTAAAAATGACACAAGGTATACTTTCTTTTTACCATGACCTTTTAGTATGACTGCATGTCCCCACACTGAAAAAAAAACCCAGTTTATTTGAGCTGACAGAGCAAAGCGGTGGTTTTGAGGATAGACTACAGTATGTGAAAGATGGAAACAGCCACAGTGACTCTGGTTTTCATTCATCAGATTCGACAACCTGGCTGTTATACCCTGCTTTATCACCTGTTTTATTCTAAATTGAGAACATAATGTTAGCATAAAGTTAGCAGCAGGTTAATGTATTAATGGACTTCTGTACAATCAGACCTCTTTTTCGACTAACAGGAGTTGCCCCCTGATGGCCATTAGAGGTTTAAAGGCTCTTCTACAGTGGCTTAACTTGGAGACTAAATTAATATTTTGTATATACTCTGGTTGTGAGAGATGGCGATAGTGAAGCAGGTTTTCAGACCAGGTAGAAACAAGTCCTGAAAGGGTAGGCATGAGCACCTGCGGTCAGTTCAATTACTGAACATTAAACTAAACCCAGAGGCAAAACCGCAAAGTGCATTTTTGGAATTGAACCTTGGAATTTTTTTTGTCAGTCTCAGATCTTATGGGTGCTCCTATTTAATAAATTTGTTTGAAGAGATCCAATCAGAGAACACCGGAGGACAGTACAATGTTTATAAGTCAGACTGATTCAATTTCTTGCGATGAGATTATGAGATTATCTGGCAATTGTTTAAACAGGAACAGGAATATTGTTTTGCAAGAGCAATACTGTATGAATGTGTAAATAAAGACCCAATACAATATGCATCCCCCAACGATGGACCTGATTTACATACCAAGAACATAAATTCCCATTTTATCTCTTTGTAACAAATACACCTGCTAGGTGAGTACAAGGCACAAGGGGCATTCCCGACTGATCAACCTTTTGAGCAAGATAGTCCAAATTAGGTTAAATTAGCATAAAATGCGAGAGTCTCCTTCCAGCTTCAGGAGTACTTACATTGCCACCTCCAGGGACATGTTTGATATTGTCCTTGGAGCCACAGCGAGAAGTGACGTGGCTGAAGTCCAGCTTTTTGTGCACTATCTGAACCTAAAGACAAGCAGGCAGACACACAGACAAGCAACATGAGGAAAGAAAAAAAGACAGAAAGAAAGAAAGAAAGCTGATCAGCTGGCAGGTTTAGTTGACAGGAAACAGAGTAGCCTTGTACTGTAAGTATGGAAGACTTTTTGCTATTCATTTTTTATAGAAACTCATTGATGGTCTGCACATGAGACAGCAAAAATGCTTTTGGTCCATTATGTGACAAACCATCAAAATGAGAATGTTAATGGGAAGCATTCTTAGAAAGAATCAATGCAGATTCTTACAAAAATGAATGCATAATTAGCAAAAGATGAGAACACTGAGTGAATAACAACAGAGCGCTTCCATAAACAGCAATAGCTACGAAAAAAGCATAAGACAAACACTCAAAGATGAGAGAGAGCATGCAAGAGAAGAGTGCCGTGGACAGTAATTTTGTGTTAACACATGCTGCTAAAAGCAAAAAAGCAACCACAAGTGACAGATTCAGAACAACAGAGGGCACAAGGTGGTTTTAAAAAGATTCAAAAATAGACTAGTTTGCAGAAAAACCTGTTGTTCTGTCTGAAGTGCTTTCAGCAGTACACTACAAGCTGGAAGAACGTGTTATATGGTCAACTTCTCTCCTTAGTATTTCAGCTTTGGCTACAAATGAGATACATAACTGAAATGTAAAAATCTCTGGCTCTCTTCCACAGCATTTCTTTTGTCATGTCTTTCTTCTCTCACCCCAACTGGCTGCGGCAGATGGCCGCCCCTCCCTGAGCCTGGTTCTGCCAGAGGCTTCTTCCTGTTAAAGGGGAGTTTCTCTTTCCCACTGTTGCCAAGTGCTTGCTCATAACAGGTTGTCCGATGTTAGAGTTTTCTCTGAATTATTGCAGTGTCTTTACCATACACTATAGACATAGGTTTGAGGTATAAGTAGAAAACAATTATACTTATCCAATTTAAATCTGATGCCGTTTGTTTTTTGGGGGTTCATGAAACTTTAAGAAGTCCAGTCACTTTCCTTCCAAGCTCCTTAGACTACCATGACCTGGATGACTGAGAACCTACCTGATTGCTAACCTCAAACTGCAAAAGGAGGCTGTCCTAAAATTAATGTGTTGAAGGCATACCATACTGTGGGGCCAAAGAGCTCAGTGATCCGACTGATGTGACATTGAATCTTGAATCTCCCTCAGTAGATGGCCTGTGATCAACCAGTAGCCTGGTTGATACCCTTTGCTTAGGATGGAGTATTGTGTAGAGTGGGCTTGCAGTGCACAATGACTAACTAAACTTGATCAGGCTGGTTAACACTTGCGGGTCTCTCTGGGTGTGAAGCCTATCTGGACAATCTGGGTTTATATTCTGAATTGGGGCTGAGTAATATGTTGCAGATAAAAGACATTTTTGAGCAAAGCAAACTTGACTCAACCTGCCAAAATGTGACTTTGGTCACTTCTAAACATGTTTTTTAACATGTTATAATTGATTTGTATCTTATTCTGTTTAATCTGAACAAGCCCCTAAAAACAGTCAGGGATCACTGTCGGCCTCTCTCGGTTTTTATTACCACTGTACATTTTAAAGCTCAGTTTTTAAACCCTTGTGATGTAACTACAGCCCAGCCCATGCAGCAATATATTAATGACTAACCT